GCATCAGCATCGGCAGTATCATAATCAGAATCAGAAGCATCGTCATAATCATAAGCATAGTCCGCATCACCACCACCAACATCATCATCACCAGCCTCATCATCATCACCATCAATATCATGCAGCATCAGCATCACCAGCAGCATCCGCATCATCATCAGCAGCATCATCATCATCAGCATCACCGCCAGCCTGAACATCATCCTGATCATAGCCATCAGTACGAGCATCCTCATCATCACCAGCATCACCATCAGCATCTTCATCTGCATCATCATCATCATCATCATCATCATCATCATCATCAACGTCATCATCACCATCATCATCAGCAGCATCATCAGCAGCATCATCAGCATCTTGATCTTCAGCAACGCCATCATCAGCAACGTCATTATCATCCTCATCAGTATCAGCATCAGCATCACAATCATCATCATCATCAGCATCAGCATCATCATCATCGTCAGCATCATCATCAGCAGCATCAGCATCATAATCATCATCAGCACCATCAGCAACAGCATCATCATAATCATCGCCAGTGCGATCTTCATTATTGGGAACCCCATAACACAGATCCTATCGAGACGCCTTTGCGCTAACACTCGCCCCTCGCACTGGTGAGAGGGTGACCAACCCAGGCCTTCGGCACAGCACGGCGTCGTCTGCAGTGGAGGCGAATCCGCGCCTCGAAGAGCGCCGCAGGCTCTGTTGCACTGCCCACACGTTTCTGCGAGCGTGCAGGCAAAAATGCTTCGCACACTGACGCACAGCACAAAATAGCAGCAGTGGTTGGAAGCTCCTTAAGGACGAGGAAAAGAGAGAGAGAGAGAGAGAAACAAAACAAAACAAAAAATGAATAGCGTCGGCACAATCCACAACCGTGCCCAGCCACATCCTGACAATCCCTTGCACACCAGGGCAAACTGCATAGTGTGTCGTATTGACGAGGTCTCTGTCGGGGTCCCCAACGGCACACCCAAAGACGCACCCACGAGACACCGTATGGAACCTGGCTGTCGCACACACCCTATGGCATGCAATACGTAGTGGCGCAAGCCCTATGTACATGTTAGTGGGTTTGACCGCATACCTGATGTCGCCAATCGTTTGGGAGACTTCGATGGGGCTTGGAGCAACGAGCCAAATAAAGATCCGCGGCCCATTTCAGGACAACCGGCGAGGTCCACAGGGTCACGAAAGACAGGCGCAGCATAGAACCGTCGCTGCACCTTCCTCTTCGGAAAATATGGCGGGACCTCCGTGGTTATATCGGAGCAGTCCCGGCAGATGCGGCGCAGTGGAGACATGAGCGACTCCTGACTACCTACCAAACCACCCCAACCCAACCCGAAGACCCGAATTTCGGGTTGGGGGGGGTACGGGTTCCATATGTGTTTTCTCAACGTTCCCCGACCCCCCCCACAACTGGGAATGGAAGGCATATCGGGGCATTCGGCTTGGGTTGGGGTGTTTTGGTGGGCGGTGAACTTCCTCCACCGCCCCACTTGCGCACAGGCAATACAGACGTCATCTGCCGTCCCCTCCCTCATGCGCCGCGAAAAGGTGGCAGCCTCCAGACTGTCTCTCTCACCTGCGGGAAGCCCGGGCAGGCCCGCGCAGCCCGCCAAGCGGTCCGCTCCCGACAGTGGCCCGAGCGCGGGAAGCTCCGCAGAAAGCCCGAGCGCCTTGAGACCGCATGGCATTTGTTTCGAAAAGGAGTACCTCGGCGCTGCGGGGAGCAGCTGCAAGACTTGCATCGAATGCCTGTTGGACTTCCCGCGTCGGCGTGTACAACTGCACAACGTACATGCGCACGGGCACACGCGTCGAGGTGAACATCACAATGGTAGTGGCCAGACCAAGCCCGAGATTCCGAAGGGCACGCACGCGCTGTTTGCACTTATCGAAAGCCTCCTTCAACGCATTGATGCGCCCATCTGGCCCAATCCCCACCCCGAGATACTTCGCGTGGGGCCCCACCGCGAGGAGACAGAGAGGGACCCCAAGAGCCCAAGCCAGGTCTCAACATCATCCACCTGCGACCGACACGAAAGTACTAACTGACATTTCGCATAGTCAAGCCAAAGACCAATACTCTGAGTAAGGGCCCACAAGAGAGTAAGAACGGGCTGGGGCCCCACGCGCATGTCACAAATCCCGAAGGGCAGGTCGTCAGCACACCCAATACCCCGATCGATGCGGGAGCTCCCCTTACAAAGCAGCCAGCGCAAGATCGGGTCTAGTGCGATGGAGAACAAGCACACACTGGTGGGATCGCCCTGCTTGACACCACGCTGGATTGGGTTCTGCTACAGCCAGCGCCCAGCGGACGCGGTCGTCGCGGCATTGTCCTTGCAAACCGCAGCAAAGAAACATAAGATCGGAGTGGGGATCGACATCGCGCTGAGAGCAGTGAGGATCCAACGGATAAAGAGGGAAGGGAAATCAGCTGCGAAGCCGGTCAGGAGCAATGCAAAGCGCTGCTTCCCGTAAAACCACTGTTGCAGCCCTCATCCCTTAGCCCCCACCACACTCGAAGTAATGCTCCTCCCCCCCACCCACCCACCCAGACTGCGCGCCGCGTGCCGTCGTCTTCGCAGCGCGGGCAAGCGGTGCACCCACCCCCATGGAGAGTGCCTTGCAAGACGTATCGGCAAGCGCAAGAGGGCGAGTCTCGCTGGCATCACGGACCGCAGTTTTGCCCAAATCCGACGAGTGGGAGCCCTTTGGTAGCAATGTGAAAAGAACGAGTCGCATACCCACAGGAAAATCAGTGATACTTGCGTCGTACACGTGCGAATACACATCGTAAAAGGTATCCGCCGCGGGGCCAATCTGCCAGCAACTGCGCGGGATGCCGTCGGGACCAGGGGTCGCATTTTTCTCGCCTAAAACAGCGCGGACACAGTCGCATCGATCGAGCTTCCACTCGAAAGTGTCACTGAAGCTGCTCACAGACTGGCAGTGTTCCAAGAACTCCCCCCACATCGAGGCATCCTCCTCCGTCGCTGCAAAGGCCCCCCCCCCCCCCCCCCCCAGCAGCATCTAGCAAGCATTGCTCCCGAGTCCTCAACTGACAGGCAAGGAAAGTATCTCGAAGTTGCCATACCGCCACCCACGGATCGCACCCGCGGCCCGCAAATGCCATTCTTCAGGAGCGACCGCAGGCTTGCAAGCAAGCCGTTGTTTCGCAGCCAGAACGTTGTCCAACGTGGTCTGTCTAGTGGCCTCCAGACGCCTGAGTGGTTTCCAGTCCTCAGAGACCTGTTGCAAGGCCCCCTCAACAAGCTCACGATAAGTCGGGGTCTCGCTGAGCCACACTTGGACCACGAGGGTATCCTTCGGGTCAAAAGGCTGAAACGACCCCGTCATCGGCAGGTGATCCGAGGGTTCGAAACGCTGCGGCTTACCCCAGGCTTTAGACTGCATCGGAAAGTCAGGCAGCACAGCGCACGGCAGGTCAGTGCAGATCCTCTCAAGCCGCGAGGCGTACTACCATCACTCCCCCACCCAAGCCTCGTCGGATCAGGTTAGTAGAGCTCCGCCCATCCTGCGCACTTAGCTCCAAAGTAAGCCGCGTGCCAACGGCCCCCAAGAACCCACTCCCCACCATCATCCACGAGCCTCCCTTCCTCCCCCAAGGCAAAATTCCAACCACCCCCGATCAGGTTAAAACAAGTCGTGGCACCTGGGAGCGCAACACAGGTATCACCGAGCACCTGTCGATGGATCTCCCGCCCGTGACGCGTGTTTGGCACATGTACATCGACTACGCAAAGCGCACCGCGTGGACCGACACATCGTGCGAGGATGGCCCTGCCCTCCCGCAAGCTACGATGGCGAACAGAGGTGAACAGAGACGCAAGCGAATCGCGAACTATCGCGGCAACACCTCCAGCAGCAGCCGACGCACACATCGAGAAACCGATGTCGCTCCCCCGCAACCGCTGCCGAAGACACCCCACATCCCCCACGTGCCCGTGACACTCCTGTCTACACAAGCTGTCATACCTTTCACGCAACTGCAAACATCGTCGGTCACGGTGTCTTGCAAATTCCCAATCCATACCATACAGACGCAAAGAGAGCGGCAACGTTCCACGTGACCATCGAAGAGGGACGAGGAGGGACGAAGCGAAGTACCATAATATCCGTGTGATCGTCGCTATCTGGGCTGTCAGACGCATCGTCACCTGGAGTCGGTGGGAAGGGGGGGGAGGAGGAGAGCACACAAAAAACTGCAAAATACACGCGCTGCACCCTGCTGCCAGCGCTGCTGGGCAACACCTTGGAAGGGACGCCGCATGGCCACCTGTGCAGCCTCAAGCATGGCAGCCTTCTCATCCATGACACCGAATTCGCTGAGCGTGGAATCCGTGAAATCGACCTGCACATCAGTGCACCCTTCAACTACCCAAATGCGGGCACACTGCACTGGATCCTCTTCGCCACGTAGAATGTATACATCACCTCCGAGCCCGTGAGATCCCACAGCGAAGCGCCCAGCCAGTGCCGCGCCCAACTTCTGGCGCAGCCTACCCATGGCGAGGAAAAACCGTCTGTCCTGACCGAGAAGTGACCTCCCTTCGGATCAGGAAACTGCATGCCGCATTCGACTTTCTGGACATCCCCGGGGAAGTCCGACGCGGCCGAGGCATTGCTAAACTCGAAGATCGTTTTCGGTTCAAGCCGAACGCCTTGATGATCACAGAATTGCGAGCATGATGTGGGACACACCGATGACTGACGACCTCTGCAGCACGCCTAAGTGTCGATTGCATCAGCGGACGTGCCAAGCCGAGTAGCACCAGTCGTGCAGCGCCTTCTTGCTGTGTGGCTCCGTACGAACTCGTGGCAGAGCTGGTCCCGAACGAGCGCGTAGTAGACGGACTGGCCGCACGGCGACGACGAAAAGGAGGTTCGCCGTCGGCAGGGGAATATGCGAGCTGAGTCTCCAGTTTCTGAACCATCGTTTCAATCTTCGTCAACCTGACCTGTCGCTCAGCTTCCACCGAGATGCCAGCAATGGAGTCTTCGCGCGTCTGGTGCTGCTCCATACTGGCCTCGAGGATGTCCATCCTGGCAGCCATCTTGTTGAAGTCCGAGCGCATCTCGGTGACCAAATCGCTCATTTCCGTCTGGAAGGTCGAGAGTTTGGAGTCCAATCCCGTGACCGTCGTGAGAATAAGACGAGCCCATTCTGGCGCCGCTTCCGCCGCCATGACTGCTCGTCGTGTGCGAAAGAAAAAAGGAAACCTGGGCGTGGCAAGAGCTGGAGGACCTCTTCCTCCAAGCAGGTCGAGATAAAGCCACGGGCACCGCCAAAGCTAATCGCTGATTCTCGGGCGTCTATAGCCCTTCACAACGTTTAGCCTTGAGCCAAAATGGCTACGGATAATCGCCATTGTCATCGTCATCATCGTCAGCAACAGCGTCAGCATCAGCATCAGCATCAGCAAGAGTATTGGAATCCTCATCATCAGCAGTACCATCATCATCAGCAGCAGCAGCAGTAACAGGAGTAACAGCATCATCATCATCATCATCATCATCATCATCATCATCATCATCATCATCATCATCATTATCATCATCATCATCACCATCATCATCATCATCATCAACATCATCAGCATCATCAGCATCCGGATCAGCATCAGCCTCACCAGCATCGTCACCAACAGCATATCATCATCATCATCATCATCATCAGCAGCATCATCAGCAGCAGCATCAACATCATCATCGTCAGCATCAACATCTTTTCATTTCCACTTCATTATCCTCCTCTCCCTCCTCCTCGAGGATCGAATTTTCGTCGTCATCGTCGTCAGCCTAATCAACCGCATCATCATCCGAACCACCACCACAACAATCATCAGCAGCATCATCATTACAGTCGTCAGCAGGAACATCATAATCCATATCAGCATCGTCATCATCATCGTCAGCATCATCGTCCGCCCCACAACTTTGGCTGAGGGCGCCACCTTCGGAACTCGGATGGTTCTGGCAATCCTGCAGCTGTCCACATACGCTCTGGCCCCGCGACCGCAGGATCTTGATCGCCTCAACCTGCCGCCCGAAGCCGACAGAGGAAGACCAGGGAGAGCAGGGGCGGATCGAGAGGAATACCTAACGAGGACCAGTGCCAAAGGATTCAGCCCCTCGGTAAGATATCGCGGGTGATTCATGCACGCGTTGAATGGCTGCCTTTCTTGAGGGCGCTGGTGAATTGAGAACAAAGGGCAGACGGCGAATGAACATCCTACCACGGCTACCTGTTACATATCCGTGCGTGCCACCATTGCATGGGAACTCACGTCTGCAGCATGTGATATATGGCAAGACGTTGCCTGGTTTCGTGGGTGGGGGGGGGCACGCTCCGCGGACGACGGCACTGCACACAGTACAAAGGGCGAGCGTCCGATCCAGCAGCAAGCAGCACTGCTGGAGACTGCCAACTCGCCCAATCCCACCATACCGCCTCTCCCCTCCCATCCTCATCTGTTTTTGGCCCTTGCCCCCGCACCCTTCATCCCCTCCACCGTCTTGTCCCGATCCCTCGGCATAAAGCACGGGCACGCGTGGCGCGTGTCCCCATACCATGGCACCGCCCAATATGCCAGAGGGTCACATGATACCTACAAGACCCATATCCGCACCTCACGATTACATTATGGTTACGCCAGGGGCTACGATTCACCCACCCGCCAAAATGACAGCTTGACCACCCACAAACGCACACGCGCTTCAACGGGCTACCCATGCACATACACCAAATGTACAAAGCTGAAGCACTTCACTTCGCCAGCCGTGGCGCACCAGCCAACCCATCATCACAAAGCGCATTCCCAAGACGACAGATAATCATCATGTGGGTTACGCAGAAGATTTCCCGAACCCCATGCCTCGCCACCATGTCGACGGGTTTACGCGCATATAAATGTTAGCCCGGGTAAACCCCAAACAGTGTCTCTTGCACGCTATGGCGGAACCTATATGGCGCAATCTATATGTTGCAAAAGCTGTGTACAAATGAACTGACAAACGCCACGCCCTAGCAAACATCCCACCCACCCGCCCGAAAATTAGATCTCAAAACCCATTGTGGCGACGATTGCAATGGGGGTTTGGCGCTGGCTGGCGCAACTTTGCGGCCGCGCTGCCCGCACACGTTCGCGCGCACAGCGGCCAGTTAGTTTGGCGCGACCGACGCGGCCGCAGTGGCGCTGACCGCTGGGCACTTCCCAGCGGGCCATTTATGGCGAGTCGATGAGTTGGGCGGGCGCGGTATCATGGCGAAGCCGACAACAATAGGCACGAATATGGGTATCGATGGTGGTGGCGATGGTGGCGATGACGATGGCAAGGCCAATGACGGCGCCGATGTTGATCACGCCTGCCGATATCGATGACGATGTCCTCGCGTCGGCGACGAGGGTTGAAGGAGTTCGACATACGCGTGCGGCCGACGCGCGCGAATGGCCCGCGCGGTGTTATTTGACACGGATCGTGCCCCCCCCCCCAGCACGCTCTCAAGGGCGTTCGAATGGATTCGGCTCGCCGCGCGAGAGGCCCGTTTGGCAGAATGAGATGAACATGCTGGAAAGCCCCACGCGGCTGCGATTTCGATGAGTGCTTGGCGTTGGCTGGTGCACCTCTGCGGCCGCGCCAACCCAAGCACGCGCGCGCAGCCGACAGCTAGCCTGGCGCGACCGACGCGGCCGCGGTGGCGCTGACAGCCGGGTAAGTCCCAGCCAGCACTTCATTGCGAGTAGGCGACTTGGGCGGGCGCTGTGTTTTGGCAACGTCGACAACGGTAGACGCGATGATGTTAGTACCGATGATGGTGACGATGTTTACAACGACGACAGCGCGGCCAGCGACGGCGCATAAGCTGATCACGCCAACGATGATGACGGCGTCCTCGCGTCGGCGATGAAGGTTTTGGAAAGAAATCGACATGCGTGCACGGCCGATGCGCGAGAGCGGCCCGCATGGAATCCGCCAACCCCTGGAGCGTGCCAGACTCAACTGTTCACATGTGGACCACTTGCTAGGCAGATGAGCCAGCCTCCTAGACCTTCTGGGCATCTGTTTCGATTTGTCCGTTTCGCGTGGCGGACAGAGCTTCACAAAGCTACCCTTGATGCAATATGCTTGCGGTACGTGCTACCCAAAGACAGCGTGCAGCCTGAACAATGATGAGAAAATTGACAATAATAAGACGCGCGCGACATGGAGGAGGAAGGAGGAAAAGGGTGAAACTTGAACCCAAATGGTTCCGGAAGGCGTTGCCTCCGAAATGAAACGTTGCATTCGCCACTCATCAGATCACCAGCACTCGCCAGCCCTCGCCTGGAGTTCGTCCAGGGCGCCTTCCAGAGCGATGTCCTCCGCCATTAAAGAACGAATGGGCGGCTCATGAAAGACGCCGGCCACCGCCACAATTTCGCATCCAGCTTCGGTCACGGTTCCGAGCGCCCATGCACTGGCTGAACAATAGTTGCGAGTGCCTCCCTCAGAGAATGCCAATAGGTTGGCTCCACGCGGTATGACACCCGCTGGTTGGCGGACCCCCCGCCAAGACGATCGCCTGTCCATGGTGAAGTTGCACAAATAATCTGCGAGAGCATTGCGGCCCCTGTCCATCCACCTGACGGGGTCGCCCCCGTCGTTCGGCGGAAGCCGCCCGGAGCCCATGATGTTGATGATTGTCTGTGTGACCCTCGTGAACAAAGGTCGAAATTCGTCGCCGCGCAGAGGCATGCGTCCGCATGCGATCCGCTGCAGAGGCCGGCAATCCACCACGCAGAGGAATCTGTCGCCAAAGCTAGCCCAACCATAATTGAACTCGAAGCCTCGCGCCACCTCTTGCCACGACCCGGGTCGCTCGGCGCAGCCTGGGCGCACTGCCGGCGACGACCGCGATTTGGCAGGGCACGTTGGTGGAGCGCGCCGCGACGGCAGTGCCCAATCCCCGCATATGGAGCGGACGAACCCATTGGCCCGCGCCTTCCCCTCCACGGTTGAACCGGTCGCGCCTCTGGTGTCAGTGCGCCACGTATGCCCGTGCGCCTTGATCATGACGCCCTCCCACTCGGTGATGTTCCCTGCTCTACGATGCACAAATCCTTGTAGCTTGCGCTTCTTGTGCGGGGCGCTCTTGATAGCGCCCCACACTGTCCGCCCTCGAGCAGCGCGAATCTCCCCCAGAAGGTCGTCGGCGCCTGGTCTTCCAGCGTTGTGGTTCCTCTCTCTCCAAGCGTTGGCGCGGATCGCCTGCGAAGCTCTCTCGCGAAGCTCGCGCGCGCCGAAAGCGCCAAACTACTTGGATATCAACTGCGCATGTACGGAGGTTGAACTGCATGTCCCCCTCCGCCGGTTTCCGTTTCATCCCGCGCATGTGTTGCGCACCCGGCGTAATCCCCATCTACGGAGACGTTGAAGCAGCGTCTTATCAACCGCCCAGCAGCCGCTGCAATGCAGCGCACTTGCGGCCGCACTTCTCGACCATGCCTCGATTTTAGCTGACGCGGTTCCTGGTCCGAGAAACTGCTTGGAGATCACCCAGAACAGCTGCTCTGATTTACGTAGCCTATGGCCCAACATAGTCCTAGCGCTGCCTTTGCCGTCCAGCAGTTTGCCCAAAGCTCCCACGTGTTCAACGCTGCAACGCGGCGCAGCTTCCCCGCCAGCGGCGATCGTGACAATGCCAACCCGTTCTCCAGCGGCAGCCCCGGCGGCCAAGACCTGCAACGAGGAAGGTTTCCAGAACAAGCGAACAGAACTTAAGGCCGTGGTCAGCGCTGCAATCGTGCCTTGTAGGTGTTCTGGGCTTTCAGCGAGCAGCCATGTTGCCTGCCCAAATCAAATGGTTGATCCGTCGGCCGCTCCGCTCCAATTCGAAACCGCAGCCTGCGCTCGTCCACTCATGAGCTAAGGGTTCGACCGTCGCCTCTATCACTGCGTCGAACAGGTCGGGCGTGTCAGGCCCCCCCTGCTTGCCACCCCTATTGAAGTTGAAGGCGGATGTCTCCCCGGCTCCTGGAAGGGAAATGCACGCCGCACACGTGGAGAGCTCGCTCATGATGTTCAGAAGAGTGCCCCCTCTGACCCTGCGGGCAGGAGGCGAATCGCATGCCGATTGATGGGTCATACTGTCGAATGCAAACGCTACGTCTTGTGATGCGATGCACAACTTCTTGCCCCAAGTGGTGGAGAAAATCAACACCTCTTTCAAGACGGACGAAAGGTCTTCCGTGCACAGCCCTGGCTTGAAGCCGAACGTCTGCACCACCGATGGCCGCATCTGGCCCCGCAGCGCAGGTCGCAAGCTTTGAAGGTACCACTTGAGGAACACAGCCAGAAGACCAATCCACCTGAAGAGTTGGAGCGTGGTGGCAATTGTGGTCTTGGGGATGCCCACAAAGTGACGATTTCCAACTCGGAGGGTCGTCTTGTGAAATCCCAGTTCGACGCTGCACGAAAAGCTGCCAGACCCTGACGGCCACGACATATGGGAGCGTCTTGAACACTTCCGGCGTGGCCCCATCTATGCCCGGCGCGCTACTCAGCTTCAATTTGGACACCCCCTGCAGAACATCAAATAAAGTCATCTTCCGTTCCCGAATTCCGTCTAAAATGCGGCTCGCCCGCTGCGCCTGCAATGCCTGTAACCGGTGTTGTTGGACTGGCGGCTCATTCAGATCATCTCCAAATCGGTCTTCTCCGACCTCTGGGCTTCCTCGAGCCACGCCTTCTGGTCAGCGGTGGGCGCCTCTTGGGCCTCCAACATCACGGGGAATTGCGTGCCCCTCTTGCTGGTCAACGAGATCTTGGACAAAGACTTCGCACGACGCAGTCGACGAAGTAAATTGACTGCATCCGTCTTGTCCGTGCCAGCCGCAACGAGCTTGCGGATGAGTTTCCGCACTCTCGTCACGGAGTCTGCGACTTTGGAAGGATCTTCCCCGCCCAGCCGCGGAGGCACCGCGCTGGCCACGCGGACCACCATATTTTGTAGGGAAGCCAAATCCATAGACTGGAAGCCTGACGACACGACCCCGCCC